TTTGTATAGCTGTGAGTTCACTGTTAACACAGAATGTGGAATGTAAATTATTTATTGTGGAATGTCACTGGCCTTCAGCTTCTGGGGTATCAGTGTGGCATGTAAGGAATTACCCCTGGTATGTGGTTGTAATATCAGTCAGAGGTTCAATTGGAGCTTGATTTTACTGAGTCCTAGATTCCATTCTCACTCTCTATATTTTATGTTCATGATTGCAATTGAGTTAATGATAATCTTGTGTACTTCAGATGCTTTTGAGATGATTAACAAAACATACTGTATAATCTGTGAATTACTGAAAAAATGTAAAGTTTTAATATGGGGAATTATGGAAATTATGTGAAAAGGTTGATTATATTTATTGTTATATGATGAATACAGATAATTTCTGTTTGTTGAAATGTGCACTAAGGGAAAAATACATTCAATAAGAACCCTAAATTGCAAAAATATTTTTAAAAAGAAAGTAATAATTAAGTCATAAGTAATTTTAATAGTCTCGAAAAGCTGTTACAAGTCTTTAAGATTAGTGACTAAATCAAACTAATTCAATGATTTATAAGATTTAGGATGTCAATAGAGACAAGCAGTGATAAAGAGAAATCCAGTCATGGTGACCACTAATGGGAGTTAAAGGGATTCAGAGGAGCCCAGCCTTGGGGCAGAACACTAGCACATCCAAATAAAGAAGATCATCAAAAGGCAGTCACACACAGAATGTAGGAACCTTCCAGACATCTGAGGTAGATAAAGTGAGATTCTAGAGTGCTCATCATTTTTTTCCAGGTATAGTGGTATATGTATAATTAATTTATACACTTCTAAGTAATAAAATACAGTAGTATTGACTTCACATAATAAACACACTAAATGCAACACTCTCTTGTTTTGACCACTCAGAATCACTTTCAATATCTTGTAAGATCTAACACATCTTAGCCTTTTATAATGAAGAAACTCTGGGGAACAAATTAATAATGTTTACTAGAGATTACTGTTTGTCAGTGATGTTCTGCTCACTAGAATATTATTAGCTAATAAATTATCTTCTCAACTAATAGTTATTGGCTATTTGTTGTTCAGATGATCAGACATAACACATACATTAATAACTATATAACTAATGAGAAGGTTAAGAAAGACTACATACACTCATTCAAATCCATTGATTGATGAATTTTAATTTCATCATTTAATGTAATTATGCTAAAGGCTTACTTATATTTTTATAAGCACAAATTATATGATTTACAACCCTACTGCTTCATGCTGTATTTTTGTGAGTATAAACATAGTTTTTATATGTCAAGATGAGGAATATACTATAAGTGGTATATTACCAGTATTTTAAGTTATCAGATTTTTTAAAAACATCATATATATGATGAGAACCCTAAATTATACAAATTATAATTATAGACACACATATGTCTGTATCTGAGTATGTACACATACACATATATACTATATATATACATATGTGTGTGTATATATACACATGGAGAGAGAGAAAAAGAGAGCACATGCATATATACATGCACATAATTTGAGGCTAAATGTTTAGTTGTAAATTAAATTGTTTTTAGCATTTTAACTTTATTTATTTAGTTAGTTAGTTAGTTTTCAAGGTAATTATGGCTTTCAGATCCAATCAGTACAATGAGATTACCTGGATTCATTGGAAAAAAATACATTTCACATTAGTAAAGCTTCTCTTAACTCAGGCTTCAGAATTTCTTTCTCAGTATGTAAAGAAATCTACAA